TGTTTCTCTCATGGTCTGTGAGAGATATAGGGTAGTCCCATATACATCTTTCTGTGTATAGTGCTTGTAACTTTACGAAGAATGGGCCAAATTTCTTATCATTTTGATGATTCCAGAACCTTGCAGATGCTAGATGCTAGATGATCAACCTTTTCTGATCGATTCCACAACATTTCTTTCACAATGCAATCGCATGACCTTAACTGGTCTTTACCTTTAAGGCAATGTCATGACACATTTAAGAGAAGGATACAATTGTTTGAGTACATTTACAATGTACATGTACACATGCACAAGGGCAACCATTAAAAAAGGTTGTGATGCATTATCGATTAGATACAAATTCAAATGCAAAATGTTAAAAGTTAGCAAGGTAACAACCAACCATTGAACAGCCCACAACATCATTCAAATAAAACATATATTCAAAGAACTGTTAGGCTCCAACAGAGAAAAGATATTAAATAATTCTATTAATAATTTGGGAAAAGGGATGCACACATTCAAAATCACCATTATAAAATGCATTTATTCCACCAGCTTGCCAAGTTTGCTTTTGATAAAAGCCCCATTTACTGTACTTATGGTACACTGTTTGAAAAAGCAGCACAGGTATAAATCACATTTTCCAAAGAGTATACAGTACAGTTTAATATCATATAAGAAATTTGAGAAAGTACCAGTACCGGTATATATACAAGATAATAATAAGACAGAAAATCACCCCCAAAAACCAAAAACATAACAACAAAAAATACATACAGGTACATGTATATTATATAAACTAGATGGAACTTCGACTGCGCGCAGTCGAAATGATGCCTCCGTCATAGAGCAATTTTACAAACCAAAACAGAAGAAATTGTTCAAATTCAAGTTCAATTGTAATCCATTAGCAGGTTCTCAGAATATCGTGATTACAAGCAATTTCTCATATACATATATGACCCTTTGATCTTTGACCACATGACCCTAACATCTACTCAGTTCATTGGCTCTGCAAGATGTTCCGAGTTAAATAGTAATCCATCTGTCAGTTCTAATGAGAATGCGTTCACAAGCTATTTTTGCATACATAATGAGCCCATGACCTTTGACCTTTGACCTCATGACCCAAGAATCTACTCAGTTCATTGGCTCTGCAAGATACATACATGATCTAAGTTTGGGAGGAATCCAACAATCTGTTCTAATGATAATGCGATCACAAGCTATTTTTGCATGCATAATGAGCCGCATGACCTTTGACCTAGACCTCATGACCCCAAAATTTAATCAGTTCATCGGCTCTGCAAATAACATACATGACCTAAGTTTGGCAGGAATCCATCAATCGGTTCTTGAGATAACGCGATCACAAGCTGTTTCAGCATACATAATGAGCCCTGTGACCTTTGACCTTTGACCTCGTGACCCCAAAATCTAATCAGTTCATCGTCTCTGCAAGATACATACATGACCTAAGTTTGGCAGGAATCCATCAATCGGTTCTTCAGATAACGCGATCACGAGCTGTTTTTGCATACATAATGAGCCCTGTGACCTTTGACCTTTAACCTCGTGACCCCAAAATCTAATCAGTTCATCGGCTCTGCAAGATACATACATGATTAAAGTTTGGCAGGAATCCATCAATCGGTTCTTCAGATAACGCGATCACGAGAACGGGACGTACGGACGGACGGACGTACGTACGTACGGACGTACGTACGGACGGACGGACAACCCGAAAACATAATGCCTCCGGCTACTTCGTAACGGAGGCATAAAAATATATATAAATACAAGAACATGTCAAGCAGAACATTAACATTTTGACGATACAAATACAGTATAAAACGAGATTAAAACACATACCGGTAACACCACAACACTATGCATTTCAAAGTTTATATATATATATATATATATATATATATATATGAACAAGTGAGAAGAAAACAAGTTAGAAAAAAAAGTACAAAAACAGAAACAAAATTGAGTGTTGTCCCAGTTATTGTATTCAAATCCTAACATGTCCTACATGTAAATGTATTGTATTGCATAAAACTACTGTCAGAAATTAAGAGTAAAGTCTACCAACGAATTTGGCATCTCTTTTAATGCAACATACATGTATACAACAACCATTTGTCCTAACCTGATGAAAACAAAACATGATTACCTTTTCTCCAAGGCTACAGTTGTACCTCTATTTCCAGGAGGGTATCCAATCAAGTTTAAGCAGAAAATTCAAAATTCCTACCACAAATTTTCTACATGAAACTACAATAAATCCTCTAATGGAATTAACACACTCTTCTTGAGCAGTGGAGGACTACAGTATAAATGACGTTGTCAATGCAAAACGCAACTAAAGTACATGTTTACAGTTGGTTTTGTGTGACACATCCCCCACACGATCGCCACCACTGCGTGTGGTGTGTGATATACATGTAGGATGAAGGTCTGTTTACATCAGTCCAAGAGTGCAAATAAAGAAATAGCTCCACTGATTATGACCACTGATACTCAGATCAATAGTGGCTGGTGGATTGTGAATACTGCCCCCTGATGACATCACAAAGTTAAAATGACCCTTGTACATATAGAGAAACAATACATCTATGAGTATGCAGTGTGTTGAATATGGATATGGATGAGTGGATTGCAAGTCACTGGATTGGTATTTATTTGTAATGCTGCATTAACTGTCCAACAGGATGTATTTGTGTTGACTAATAATTAGTCAGCAAAATCTAAACAATTGCAATTATCCTATAAAGTTCTGCTCGTCTAGAACTAAAATATGGTATACCTCTTTCTCGATCTTAATTGACCAATGTCCCAACTTAGCAAAATGTCTGGAAATAAAATGCTGCCACAGACCACATGGAAGCATTGAGATGTTTCCATGATATTGCTATTCAATCCCTTCCTATTTTTTCCTTTTCCTTAGATCTGCCTTTCTGTATAAGGCCCAATGTAATCTCCTCGTAGAAGTTATGATATCATTATTGATGTGAAATTGTAGCTTTCCTGATCAATAATCTTATCATCCCTCATCAGCCTAATGGACATCTAAAGACATTCACGATTCATCCCCTATCCTTCCCTCCTCCCTTTTGTAAATTCACTCTTAGAACCCCAGATATCATTCATGATTATGTGAAGTTGTCTATTCCCCACTCTCCTTTAATATCAGCTTAGTGATCATCAAATTATTGCAGACTCTATCCCAACACATGTCACTGTAAAGTACATTAACATGTGCCACCTTCCTGTATCGGCCTTCTCCCTCTCCATCACAATCCCCCAGCATTATGCACCTTCATCCTCATCATCATCATCGCCGTGGTAACCCCTCTATATGCCTTGCATGGTGGTTCCGACAAACATCATACATGCACAAACACATAGACAGACAGCACATGCACCTCTGTCAATAATTTATGAAGAGCATGTTGCAACAGTGTAGCATATGGAGTTCCTCCGGAGACACGAACGGCATCACTTTCTTCATGTTGGCATTTTTGTGAGAGCCCCTAAACACATTTTTCACAATCTATCTATAGACAGTAGACACCCCCGCTAATCTATGCCTCAGTCCTTTCTCAACATCAATATTGCAAGCAGAAGGGAGCATAACTTTTTAAAGGTTAGTTCCCAACAGGGCATCACAAGAGAAGAGGGGAGGGGCGGGGGAGAAGGGGGTGAAATGATTGTCCCCATTCAAACTTTGTCTCCCAGTCCAGAATCATTGGCAGACTTTTCATCATATGACAGAAAATAAATACAATGTACATGTATATCGAAATCCATTTTTCCCCCTCATATCTTCTTTCTTCAAATGTGACCTTTCTGAGGACCTCATTTTGTTCTTCCTTGCCTGTAAGTTTGACAGTTTTCAGATATTGTGTCTGCACTCTGCAAATTGATTGTCAATTTGTCATCCCCGATGATCCCCCCCCCCCCCATTCAAAATGGTCCAGCAATCACTGCTCCAATTTTGTATGCATTCATCAATAATAAAACAAAGGTAGTAAAACAAAAGAAACTGTGACAATAACTGACAAAACAAACAAGGAAACATTTAAACAAAACAAGGACATGCAATAAGATTCAGATAACAATTCTGACAAGCCTTAACTTAAAATCAATCAAATCCATTAAAATTAGTATTGCATGTAACATTTAAGCATCTTGCATTCCAACAAACACATTTAATGGTCATTCAAACATGCTAATAGTGAGAGCTCTGGGAAATACAGATTCCTCACTTAACTGATGGAAAACATGTAAAATACCCTAAAACCACAGTTTATAGAAAAAATAGATTATGTTAACAAAACCACAACCCTGCTAATCCTTTTCGATCCATAACAGCTGTATTGTTATTCACTCTCCATTCCTACCAATAAGCAATTCAACAATCTCTAAAATTGATTTGCTTCTCATAAAGTGATAAACAAATACTTTTTAAATCAAAATACCAATCAACCAACTCTGAACTCCGGCATGTACCGGTACATGTAATACCCAAAGATGTTTACATGTCAAAAGTACATATATTTTCACGCATACAAAATACACATGTAGGCCTACTGACTGCACTGGATTTAAAGTGCATTTGCTATTAAACAATATGTTTAATCGCTCAATCTGAATTCTGAAAGATTATTAGCTTTCTGCTACTTAATAATAAAGTCCAAATCAAATTCAAAACTTTAATAACAATTTCTCAAAGCTTTACTCAATATCAGCAATTTTACTTTTTATACTTGTTATTTAGTAATATTCCTGTATTTTAAATGAAAAATAAATAAATCACCATTCACCAATTAAGTTCAAGCTTTTTCACATTTAAAGAAAATAAGAAATACAATCAGCATGGTAACATCCAAACTGCATACCAGGGGTGGGAGGCTTTGAACATGCAGTGTGCAGGGAGCTGGGAGGGAGGTGTTAGTAAATTATTTTTTATTCCTTCTTCTTCTTCATTCATGATATAAGGTACTCACTTCTGAACCTGGAGCTCCATTCTGTATAGTTTGCTTTCTTCATTTGCCAACAAAAATGAGTGCAAAAACAATGATGAATTATCAAATATTTCAATAGAATATAAGGAGATGAATTGCAAAATCATAATATCTTGGGGTAGAAATGTGGACCTACATGTACAGTACATGAATCACATCTGTATTACAAAAAGGTAAGTCTCCTAAATAAATAGTGCCTCACTGTGACCAAATTGTGATGTGTGGAAAAAAAACATACAAATACATGTAAATGTCATATGTCCCCATTATTGTGATAAGTTTTTGTAGATGATACTATCCAAGGAAAAAGTCAGGAGAAAAAATGCTGAACATGAGCTACTATAGTAGACCGACTGGAAAAAAACCCCATTGAAATATAGTGAATATGCACTTCAATAAGTCAGTCAGAGAAGGGAAAAAAACAATTCCATGGTCAGAGTTACACTAGCAATGAGAATATTACAATAAAATTGAGACAAACAAGTAACACTGTACATCTACATGTGCTGAATATACATGCATTGCACAATCATGATCCACTGAATTGACTGAAACTTACCGTATACTGAATTAAAAGCATAGTGAGGAAAAACATCTTGAAAAAAGATGAATATGATCGTTTCCTGAATATGCTACTATGGTTAACGGTGGTACCAGTCTGTACCACTATCTTTTGCCATAGCATGTCAAAGTTTGTACATTGTACATGTACAGTGCGCCCCAGAAAAAATGAAACCTGAATACAAATTATTATTGTGGGCATTAAGTAGCATTAACCTACATCATGTGAGCTGATATAATTAATATGATTACTTGCTTTTCATAAAGTAGAGGTACATGTACGGTGCATACATGTATGCTTTCAAATGATTCTTTGATTGAGTTATCCATACATGCTACTTCAAAAACAGTGTTGCTCCATGAAGCATGTATGTATTAATATGATCACTGAACCATTTTAATTTTTAAAGCATGACTAATTTCTAAAAAGCAAGGAACTATATTCTTATAATAGTAGTTTGTTCACAATAATTGTTTGTTGTTGGTTTTCATGTATTTTGGGCCGCACTATACAGTATATCTTTTACTGTACATGTAGATGTATATAAATATTGAAATACATATTGAATTATTGATGAACAGTTCAGAAATAAACTCAGTTTACTCACTTTACTGCAGGGGTTTTTAAGCATACTTAAAATGCAAACTGAACACACAAGTGAGTATGCCTACTATATAGGATCATTTTTGCGTGCAGCTATTTTTCCATCCTCACTAGCAAAAAGTACCCCTTTACCAGAGATTTTGGGAACGTGAATGAGGTGTACATGCGAGATTTAATACATTTTTTAAGGACTTATGGTAGAAAATTGTATATAACTTATAAGACAAATATTCATTATTGTTGGTGAGATTTGATCCATGTTTTAAGTAAAATACTAGATTATCTAAGGCAAAAGCGACCATTTTATAAAAGCATTTTAACAAATAATCTCTATCAAACAGATTTTGGAAGAGTCAAGATATTGATAGTTGGGTCTGGACTCTGGACTATACTAATTACTATAAAATATATCCATATTTGCAGGGCTGTCAACTTTGGGAAACTGCTTCGAGGAAGATCACATTCATATGCAATTTTTTGGGGGCTCGACGGGGGAAGGGGGGGAAGATGTTGAGTAAAAAAAAAATTGAAGTGCTCACTAACCCCCCCCCCCCCCCCCCCCCCCTATCAAGCAAAAAAAAAATTGCATACGATACGGTACGCTGGTTCATTTTACATGTTTGGCGAGAGGTTTTTTCATAAACCGGGAGATTGCGGTAGAAAGGGCGTGGTGGCGGGAGTCTCCCGCTACGAGCTGATGGGAAGGCAGGAGAATGAGTGTGGAGGCGTGAGACTCCCTTCAAATGCAAGAGGGTTGACAGCCCTGTATTAAGTACCCTGTATTTGTCCAACGTACCCAACGATGCACGATGGAACCACCATTATCAGTAGAGGCGCTGGTCTGAGAATGAGGATCGTCCACATAAACAAAGATATTCTTGTAAACGCTGACAAATTGCGTCCTGAAAATAAGGATCATCTGCATTTTTGCGGAGGTTTTTTTCATTGGCGCTCTGCAGGTTTCAGGTTTTTGAAGTTGAACCCATGCTGGTGACGCGATGCAAAAAAACAGATTCCGCTTAAGAAAATAAGTTAACCCCAGTTTACTGTCTACTTTATGGGTTTACCGTCTTCCCGAGGATTTATCGCTCATAGCGTGAGTCTCTGTACAAATTCAATGTAAAATGCATCAAGAAAATCATTGCAAAATCTGTTTTGCGCAAAGCCGAAAATGCGGACGATCATTATTTATGCGGAGGCGCGTCTACAATGACGATTCTCGTTTATGAGGACGATCCTTATTCTCGGACTAGCACCACTGATTATCAATTCTCATGCCAATTCATTTTTCAGAGATTAACACAGTGCACAGTCACTAAGAGTAAGACACTAGACTCGTTTTCAGAATTAAATGCCCTAAATTCCACTAAGATGATCTGAGTATGACTACAGAAATCCCTAGGCCTATAAGTAACCTATGTATCAGCAAAGACAGATGATCTTCACTCAGTTCAACACAGTCGAAAAAGACTCGAAATGATTCCATTCATTCATTTACACAAATGATTCAGCAAGCAGTCACAAATGCAACAACTCACACTCACAGCCACACGTTACGAATTTGCACGAACCTCCGACCGTTTCACAAGTTTGTCTCTGTAATTTCTGTTTAAAATCAACCAAAAAACATGCAAAGAGTCTTAAAAACTCACATTATCAGATTTAGTTCAAATAGATGAAATATGGATATTTTTCCTCTTCTTCTTCTTTCGATTAGTAGCTTGAGTCCGTCACAATTTCAAGGCATTCACAGTGCAGTACGCGTTGTGGCGCAGTCGAGTCTAATCTGCATTTATATTCGCTGCCTAGCGGAAATTCCCATTGATCTTGGCCCAAACTCTAGGGTCAAAATATGACTCATGTAGAGCCATAAGTTATTCAATACGAGGATAGCGCTTCACTGTCGTATGTCGAAGAATTTTTTATAGCTTTATAACACAAGAGCAATAGATCCAACTCGGATTTTTTACGACCGCACATATCGTGAATGAATTTCTGAAGGGAGCCATCTGTTGGTGAAAAAGAAGAAAAGAAGAAGAGCTGACTTTTTTAGGTGTGAAATTTGTTTTTCTAACAAGGATTGAGTTATGGCTTTGTCAATGAAGAAAGCAACGGGTGGTGGTGTAAGTATATTCACAATTATCTATTACCAATTTAAAAAATGATTTGATATGTATTGACGGTTGCAGAAATGCAAAATAGGTAGAACTCTAAGTTAGATCTAATAATGTCGGAACAGTCCCATACGTTTATCATTTTGTTTGTGAAATGTGGTCTTCTTGAATTTATTGGATGGATGAGCTGAGCGGTTTTATTACCTAAGATGACCTTTTATCAAAATACGGGAAGTAGAAAGAATATAAATTTTAATTAATAAGTAAAATTTCATACAAAAATTAGGCAGTTTTCTTCATGAACCAACCAAGTTCAACAATCACAATGTTGTTACCATTAATCATGTTAATAGAGTAAAGGAGCCGGTAATCGGCCAGCTCCAGTTTTCGGCCGATTGGTCGGTGCAAGGTAAAATCCCTCTAAAATACATGGCATAATAGCATAACACATGCACATCGCCCACACACATACCATACCATGCCAGTGTCACTGAAGAACCACATTTGCAATGAAAAATATATCCTAAAATATCACATTTTAGCGATGTAATCGGCGGTCCCGCTACCCGAATCTGAAAAATCGAGTATCTTACGCGTGTCTGTAAGAAATATGGGTGCCATAAAATGAGCTCTGTTTCAAGTATTTTTCAGATTTAGAGCCCGATTTTGTGCTAGTCGCAAGCTCAAAAGTATCTCATCGCATGTATTAAATCAATGCAGCCGCACACCGCAACGCACACACGATATCTCTGTCTAATTCAGATTCCAATATCCGATCAACGCAGTACTAGTTTTCGGCCTGGCGAGCTCCGGGGAGCTCGGGCGTGGGATATCTGCTCCGCCCGCTAGTGCTATAGATAAGCGCGGAAACGCACGGCGCGTGCGCGCGCGCTTCCTATTGACTTTGTACATGCGGCCGAAAACTGGTACGCTATGCCGAAAACTGACTCCGAAACAGTGAAAATTGAAATGAATATAATTCGTGATTTTTTTTCTGGGATTCTTGTTTTGTTTAAATAATAATAATATTTGCTTTATGATTTGAACCAAAAACGATAATAAATAGGAAGTAAAGGGTCCAAAAAATAGGATTTTGTCTTAAGTGGCCGAAAACCGGCTCCTTTACTCTATTACTTGTTAACATGGTTAGTAAGTAAGATATAAACATATATTTCTACTGCATGTACTTACTTTTGATCTTCTCCACCACCATCAATTTATCGTCATCATTAGATTTAATCATTCGACAGGGCTAGGGACCAACCTCATGAATTAGATAATAAAGTGTATCTCCATTCTCCATGATCTCTATCTCAAATTTTAGCATGAGGATGTAACTTAGATAAAGCCTATAACAGTTTATACAAATCCTAGCGTGCGTCAGAAAGAAATTACCATGGTTTTATTGTTCTCTAGAAGCCTGTAACCCTGTTAGCCCTGTAAGGAATGATATCCGAACCCAAGAAAAATAGCTTACAAATATATCATTACCAAGTCGCCTTTGCCTTGATTTCCATAAACCTACATTTACTTCATGTAATATAATTTTTATATTTGCAGGATGATGATGTGAATGTCACACTTGAAGATCAACAGAAGATCAACAAGTTTGCAAGGAAAAGCAATAAACTTGGAGAAATTCAGGATGAAATCACAAACAAAAAGGTAATTGGGAATTGCCATGACACAAACATGTATATCATATGCCTAAAGATCTTTTTTTATTCCAACTAAAGTTTGGATGAAAATTTTTGAACAGGGCATATTAAATACTTGCCTGGGGCCCGTTCCTAGAAACCGTCATAAGTCTAACTTCTTGACTAAATCAGCGTTAGTGAGCAACTTGTCCGCTACGTGTTTCACGAAGCCCTCTTTGGTAACATCAAGGACATCTTCCTGACTAAGGAGTTATGACGCCTTCAACACCGTCATATCTCTGTCATAACTATTTAGTCGATGGGCAGCACCATCACATGTCATTTATTGGGTAGACTATGGCTAGCAAGAAAGGACAATAAATCCTCCAGCTATGATCTTTCTACACATTCACTTAAACAGGAAGTTATCATTTCTTTATATCAGAAAATCTTTTGAAAATATGCCATGACTATATCCCAGGCTTTTTCCACTGTTATAAACTGATTATACACGTTTATTTCGATATTGTAAAATCCTTGAAGGGAAGTATAATCTACCACGACAGGCAAGCCATAGTTCGAAGTGTATTCTTTAGTTTTCAGACCCATATTGCTTTCGAGATAAATTCTATCTTCAAATGTGTAAAATGAATAGTTTAAAACATGTGTTTTAACATTTAGAATGTTGAAGTTTTGTCATTTGATTATTCAACTGACACCTAAAACATTGAACACAAATTTCATTGCATCATATTTTTCTAAAAATAATATATTGGTGTATTTTTATAAACTATCAAATGAAAATATCTGGGGGGTACCCATCTCAAGAACAATACTGATTCACCGGTCATGTAATGAAATACTCACAATTATACTTTACAAGTACTTCTGTTGTATAAACTACACAAATTTGGAAGTATATTGCATCTCTTATTTCTTGGTATCATTTTCAATCCTTTTTATTACTAATTCATTTAAATAATTGCATTTTCCCTAATATTACTTTTGTAATAATCCGGTGGTATTGCGACTAAGGCTAAGTCGTGGCTCCTCTTCTCTCCGATAGTATCGATCTCATGAGATATCTATCTAGTAAGCTCTTCGTGAAATGGTTTAGGAAGATCAGAGACATCTCCGTAGTTGGCGGATGACTGTCTTGTCGTTGGTTTCTAGGAACGAGCCCCTGATTATCATGAACAAGGATTGTAAGCCAGAGTGTGTTTTTCTTATAAATGAAGATATTAGGATATTACATTGGGTGCCTTTAAAAAATATTTTTTGCCATAGTTTGTATTCAAAATGTAGCTTCCTACAATCTGTTTCCTTGCTCATAAGTAACAAACATTTCTCTCTTTGTGTACATGTATGTATGTCTCAGTCTGTGTTTGTATGCCTGTCAGGCTCTCTCTCTCTCTCTCTCTCTCCCTCTCTCTCTCTCTCTTTCTCTCCCCCTCCCTCCCTCCCTCCCTCCCTCCCTCCCTCTCTCTCTCTCTCTCCCTCCCTCTCCCTCTCCAATCCATCTCTCTCTCTCTCTTTCAAACATGAAGTATCGTGTCTGTTATATTGTTGAATAGTATTTTTAATTTTGTTTCCTCTCTTAATTGATTATTGTAGAAAGATCTTCAAAACCTGGAGGATGCAGCCGATGAATTAGTCCTGGGAGACGAAGATGACTTCATACCATATCCTTTCACCACTTTTGTCTTACTCTTGTAAAAAGTATTGGTAATTTCAAACGAATTAAGCCTGAAAAATAATGCAGGTTTTTTTTTTCTTTCTGATGTAGACAGATGATTTTAGGCATTACTCTTTTGGCTATTTGCAAATAACAGTCACTTTACATTTTCTTTTTAAACTATAAATAATAAATAAATATAATATGGAATTTTTTTTTTTCTTGGGGGGGGGGGGGTGGGGGTTGGGGGGAGGGGTCCAGCTCCTTTATGACCTTAAGACTTTGCTCTGTGAGAAATTGTGGAAAAATATCAATATAACAGGGATTACATTTTATGAGGATTACTAGAACTTGAACCGTCTTCAGCTGTTTCAAATTTGTTATATTTTAGTTTTTTTAGTTTTTAAATTTTCGGCTACCTTGATACTTGCGTGCAAATGGTTGGTTTTGGAAAGTCTTGAGCTGTTTTGAATTTATGTTGTTTTCTTCTCCTATTTTGGGGGTTGTTATTGTTGTCGCTAGTTTTCTGTTAAGCTTATTTCTTAAGTTAATCATTACCACTTTTATTCAAATGGTTAGTTCTCAGACAATGTTTAGAAAAAATGGCTCTTGTAAAAAGAATACACAAGACAAGTAATCCAGCTAACAATGGAAGTTACAAACTTATTCAGGTTCGAAACTGACTCACGTCTTTTGGATGGTGACGTTTAAAGGTTGGTACCCAGACGTAAATAATCATATCTGATTGATACACGTCTGTAAAAACCCAGTACACACACACACAATTTCTATGTTTTGACCTTGACTCTCTGCATCACGTATCAGATTGGGGAGGTGTTCTTTCACCAGAGTCTTGAGGATGCCCAGCAGTCGGTGGAGAATGCCAAGACAAGGATGGAGGAGGGGATAGCTGCCCTGGAGGCCCAGGGTGACGGCCTTAAGGGAGAACTAGGAGACCTCAAGGCACAGCTATACGCCAAATTTGGAAAGAATATCAATTTGGAGATGGATGAAGATTGATGAAGGATCATACGACTTTTGGACAGTTTTGACTTTTGAAGCTGAAATGTGACATATTTGTGTGTTTTTGTATGATTTGCTGAGCTTGCATGAATCATTCTGAACAGCAAAGTTTAGATGTTTTGCAAGGTACATGTGACATACCGGTAGTAACTTCTTATATATTAAAACTATAGTGCGAGTGCTTTGATAAATAATTATGGTGTGTCCATATATATATATCTGAGGGATGGGGAGGGGTGTTAAACTTGTTAACAAGGAAGAAGATGATGTAAATTAAATTGGTACTTTCAGTCTCAGGTACAGGGTATTAACTTCTGTAAAAGTTCATCTTTTGAAATTCAGAATTTTATCAGTGCTAAATGTTTGTACCGGACTATATCTGCCATATTACATGTACAAGTGTATGTATGGTACTTGGAATAGTGGAATGGCTGTGAATGAGCCTGTAGAAAGTAGAGGCTCGTAAAAACCTAGATGACCGACATTCCTTGATTGCACATTTGACATTTCCATTACTAAAGTTTGTGAGTAGCAGCTTCTGAGTCACATTTCTCTTTGCTGTGTTTAGTGAAAGTGCCTGCAACATGGCAACAGTTAATATGCCCCTCTTCTGTTTGGCTGCAACCAAGGAAATCTCCTTGCTACCCATACATGTACAGTATACCCTTTTTTTTTTTGTCCATCCAAATTGAGAAGAAAGATGTATATCTGTTCTTTCAACGGGATAATGATGTTGCTTTGAAATATCATAAAAATATTTAAAAGTCCTATCATATTGTGGTAAAACTGCGGGCTAGCTAATGATCAATGCTAAAAGTAGAACTATCTTATGCTATTGTTCAACCACTTTACATTATGGCAATAGCAAAAAATGATACATTAGTGGATATAAATCATTTTCATTTGAAATGTACAGAATGACATAACAAAGGGGTGTCCAATAGAAGTCTGTCATACAAGCATGTGACCACTGTTTTGACACATATTTATAGGTCATCTATAATTTTATTGATAGAACATCCAAAAATATGAATTATGGTATCAAAACACATGTTAATAATACTCTCCATTCCCATGACAATATTTTTCACGGTGAATAACGGGAAACACATATCCATTTATAAAATGTGATCTTTAAGGAGTTGGATTTGATGAATAATACTTTCTACTTTGAGCATCTACATGTACAGATCCTTTTCAATTTTGATATCTGGACTGGACATCATAGAACTACCCATACAGACCAACTCATGGTTGAGGCCGGTTATTCCCTTCTCACTTTTATAAAAGCAGAGTTTTGTCGGATGGAAAATGAGTTGTTACCAGTAGTAACATTTAGACTGCAATGAATTCCGGTATGCTTTGTTTCTGCAAACGGAGATGGCTTATAACCAAGTACGTTTGAGAAAATGAAATTGTCTAACTTGTGCAAATGCTTTGTACAGTTTTGTTAATAAATGTGGATAAATTAAAAAAAGTCCTGTCTGTATTTCTCTATGATTGCACCAAGTTTTTATGTCAGTTTTTCAAGATTTTAGTCTTTTCTCTCACCTATATCAATTCCCGGTGGTCTGTTTGCATCTCTCTCATTTGTTTGAAATGTATCTCTTCTTTTCCGAACATCCTTCGTGTGTCTCTTGTACTGCCTCTGGACATGTATTTCATCTTTTTAATTCATCTCCCTTTCTCCTCTCTCACTGCTCATTTCTATCCCATTCTCTTCCACTCTTTCTGTTTGTTTCTCTCTCTGCCTACTCATTGTAGAAACTCGACACAAAAGGCAAAAGACAAAAACAAGATATTTACTTGCATAAAACAATTTTTTTCTCCCTTTTTCTTCCTATCACATCAACTACATTAAAATTAACAAAATGTACTTGTGTCGAACAGTCCTCTTTTTACAAAAATGAGTTTTTAACACATACTCGGTGCAATAGTGCATATCTACATATATATACACAGTAAAGAGCTTGACGTAAGTGCAATTAAACGACCAAATTACTGAATTTTTTTAAATCACAATCTTAAAGAATTGTTTTATTAGACCTTTTGATTTTTTTTTTACCATCAAAGCAAGTAAAACTTATTGATAAAATCAATTAGACTATATAATGTAACAAAATTTAATGCATGTCTTTATTAAGTGCCTCAATATTAATATTTCATACGGCTGTGATGAATAATTGTATTTCAATAGACGGAATGCAAAATGCATGATTGTCCTTGTATTGAGGCACTTCACAAAGATGTATGCTTTAGATTTGGTTACATTAGGAAAAGTGGCACTGGTGTCGTGGAATACCGTAAGTAAAATATTCTTTTGACAGGGAAAATTATGTTTGGACATTTGGCAAGAATCCAGAGCAGGTTGCATAAAAAGCTCTGAATGGGGCTGATCCATAATATCCATATTTCACAAGTTTTAATCAATTCTTTAAAAAAAAACTTTCTTACAAGTTTCTGCATAGTGAATCCACTTCCTAAATCACAATTTCATGAAACAAAACACTGACTGACACACAATGCTCTAATATATCTAGGGTTGACTTGGTTTGATTGCTTTCTCAACACATGTATACCCATGTTATGTACTTTAAGTTGTAATGCATAACAGAGTGCCTAAGCTGTAAGGTCTTTGACTGCATAGTCTATCACACTCTATTAGCCCTGTGTGGTAATGTATCTTAAAGGGCAATCCAACCCTTGTAGTAAGTTCATTTGAATGAAAGCAGAAAAATTAGAGAAACAGAATGGCAAAAATTTGAAATAAAATTGGACCAATAATAAGTAAAGAATTTTTGGAATATGAGATCACTACAGCTATGCAAATTTCAAATTGACAGTTTTGTCAGTGGATTGTGACAGATAACTTTCATGTTTGTCGTTAACAAAAATATCACTAATTTCTGTTTTTCTCCCAAGTGCCTTCACCCTTGATGCACTACTCAAAATATATTATGGAGAGTAAATGTCTATCATGAGAGGTCCCCCAAGATGCATGTAATTCTGTGTTGAAATGTTAAGTAGAAATTATCTATCAGACATTTATACAGCATTTCTATAGAGGCAAACAATGGACAGTTTGAAACCGGTGTTTTAGATGCATCAATGTGTAGACTAACTTTGTCGATCTTAATATATCTCACACAAGCAAAAACGTAATGTTCATCATAGCACCACAGCAACTTAAAGGTTTCCAGCAAAATATGGAAATACATGTAAAGCACATCAAATCTAAATTATGCACATCGGGTACACGAGTGAGCATAAGCAGGCAACCCAATTTTAAAAGCAATAATAAATACAGTCTAATGGTAGAGCAGTCAGTGGTGCAAAATCGCTAAGTTGGTACAAAAATACAAAACAAATCACAAAGTGTAAACCACAGGTATAACAATTATATACAAGCCACATCTACAGTATTAAAAATGACAACAACAGAGGAACACTTTCTGAAATTATGTACAAAACATCCAAATTCTATACATGAACAAAGTATCAAAAGAATAAATATATATCTCTCTATATTCTTGTATTATTTAATCATTTACAATTTCCTGTAACCCAGCAGAATCAGTCTTCATAACTCAAACCTACATTCCTATGTTCCTGAAACATATCAAATCAAATCAGGCATTGATGCCGTCAAATCAAATCAGGCAATGACACCATCAAATCAAATCAAATCAAGCCCCGATGCCATCAAATCAAATCAGGCATTGATACCATCAAATCAAATCAGGCACCGATGCCATCAAATCAAGTCAGGCATTGATACCATCAAATCAAATCAGGCACCTATGCCATCAAATCAAATCAGGCATTGATACCATCAAATCAAATCACTGCTGCTGCTGATGAGGTCTTGAACAGCACCGGTATCTGCCTTTGCTGGGCTTTCATAGGATGCCACGATCATAAACTTCAAAATTAGTGTGCAGGTTTATTTCAGATGTACTAATATGTGCTCATTAAAACAATTCTTTCCACATTACTAAAAATGTTCAACCAGACACGTAAGAAGCAGACCTTGATTTCAAATCGTAAGAAAGAAAGATTACAGTTTTGGCTTTTGGGCAAAAAATACCCGCAATGAAGCTATGGCATTGCTACAATAGCATCCAATGTATTTGATATATGCTGTAATCCTTTTTCAGTTATTTATACAAGCGCTATACATGTAGATTGCAAAGCATAAATGAAGCTCAAAGAGAAAGTGCATTGTGCCATGGCTACCATCTCAGGAACATAGAAATATGAAAAAGAAAAACCACTTCTCGTAGAATCAACTCCTCAAAACCATTAGCACACATTCCTATGCTATAATAATCCCTTGAACTATTTCTTTCAATTCTGAAATACACCCAAATAACATAAGCAATTATGGTTAATAAGTGCATTGCTACAATCAACGACACTTCTAGCTTTTGATCTTTGAAGAGCTGTTCACAATCAAATGCAAACCAGTTAACCATTTCTTGAAATGAATAATAGTAGTGCAGGCCTGTAGGGATACAAAGCCTGACAGAGAGGACTGAGATGTTTTTACATTGAAAAGTGGTAGTTGGGTCGAGTAGCTTGATTACTATTTTTTCTGTTAATCCACTTTGGAATGAATACTAGTATACGATGAGAAAAGAAGCCCAAGCCTGGTTAACACTTTGCCGCAGTCCATCAAGTAAAGATACTTCTATCACTGCTGCTCTAGAATACTTCCATCCCTCTGCATAAACAAAAACAAACAATGGGGGAGAAAAACAAAAAACAGTTAATAAATAACATTCATTTCATTCTTTTCTAGTTTCAATTTGTTACTCATGGCTTGAGTTTGGTCAGACTCCATTTCGAGTTTCAACAGACCGCTGACACATACATCTTGGGCACAGTTGTCACTGGCTTATAATATGTCAGTTACATGTAGACATATGTGATAATTAGATCAAAACAAGATTTAAAACAGACCTATCCACAAGATCTGAATTACCAGACTGTTCTATAACCTATGAAATAGGTTATGAGCTGCATGACTTTGTACAATCACTGGAAAACTACATTTCCATGATAACTTTTGATCAGGGTTAACTAATTTTTAATTGCATTTCCGTTTAACGGTAAGGAAATAATATGTTACTTTGGGCAGTCAAAGGGCAAATTATACTGTAGCAGCAAAAAGGGCACGAGAGGGGAACTGTAGTTTGTGAGGAGGGTTCATGTTGAAATGCCCTGGAATCTAATGACTGCATTGAAGTATGTATTTTTTCATATTTCTAATGGGTCCATGGATTAAATGCCCGTTATCTCTTAGTAATATCCACTCAACAATTCCCACTCATTCTGAGCACTGAGCAGAAGTAATAATCCAGTGAAACAAAGTACATATTAAAAAAGATGGCTCAAGAGAGTCGAGAGAAGTTGTTTTTGTAAACAAGTGGTCTTTAATTACAGGTTTCATTAAATACAGTGAAGCCTGCTTCAGTGACCATCTGGCTCTGAAGACCACAATGTTTGTTTCCTGTGAATAGTGTTGTATCAAAGGAACCTGTCCTTAAAGACCACCTGCCTATATAACCACATTTCTTGTCCCCCTTGAGTGGTCTTTATATACAGGTTTCACCGTACACATTTTAATGTGCTTTTACTGACTGGTCTTTCAATACAGGCATTTGCTAATACAGACTCGACTGTACTTGGCTCATCTCCTCCATCCTCCCTCATTTACGGGTCACACTCATCCTCATGTTTATCAAATTAGTTCTTGTGCTGACCCAACCCACATGACACAGACAGGATGTCCTTCATTAACACACAGGGTACAGGCCATAGCATTGCTGGCTAATAATAGGTTAACTGGGTCAGGTAAGAACTATGCTGGGTTCGCTGTACTACATGAGTGAAGTAAATTCAGGCCATACCCTATTCAGAGCTGCCAACCTCCAGAACAGAAAATCAGTAATCACAAGGCTCAAAATCAGTAATTTGGGGTATAAATCAGTAATTTCTTATGCGGCGCTATGAATCTAAAAAAACGACACGCCAACACTGCGCGGACGCATGATTATCTGAAATTTTTGGTGATTTTACTCACACAAAGATGTTAAGTATTGAATTTCAGGTCATCACAACACAGTTTATCATGAAAAATGGCTCCTATTCACAGCACTCGCTACGATAAATCATATTTAATTCATTAAAAAAAAAAAAAAAAAAAAAAAAAAAATCCGTAATTTGAGACAACATTCCGTAATGGTCGTTAATTTCCGTACCAATTACGGAAAATCCGTACTAGTTGGCAGCTCTGCCTATTTCTGAATTCACTGGACGGTTTCTATTTAAAATCGAAAGAACAATGGGGGTCCATGTTTCATTAAATGAAACATGATTGATAACAACCGACACAATTCTTTAAAAAATGTGTGTACAGCAATTCTCAAGCAATGATTTCATCAGTTTATATTTGTTTAAATCCTGTTACATGTTACTGATGGCTCGGTCAGTGAAACAGGGCCTATACTGTACTACAAGCTGTGAACAATCTGTTTGTTTGTATGTTTCATTTGTTTTTGTTTACCTTCCACAGTAAAGAGGTTCTCCCTCTGCATAGTAATCTAGATCCTGCTGGCTCTCTCCATCCGATTCCATCATCAGATCATCATCGTCCACATTCAAGGACAGGTCATGGCCCAGGCCAGAATCGTGGCAAAGGTCCCTCCTTCAGTGAAGAAAAGTAGAGAGAGAGAGAGAGAGAGAGAGAGGGGGGGGGGGGAGGGGGGAATATATGACAAACAGTATTAGAGTACTAGAAAACAGGAAGATTAACATGTTACCAACAGCTACTCACAAAACACCACTCCAAAATCCATCCCTAAAATCTGAATTCACCTTGCAAGTTTATTTCTTCTTCATTTGGAATAAGGGACAAAAAGATTGATGTATTTCACACAACTTTTAAAAATATTTCTCTTCATATACTGCCACACATCACAAATAGTTTGGAAGAAGTTACTTTGGCCAATCACACAAATCCAAAGAAATCAACATGACAGTAGAAGATCATGGCTAAATGCAGCATGTTATTACATATGTGACGTGATGTCATGTACAGAAATGGAGTAGCTTTTGAGACTTGGGGGTAGTTTTAATGTCTGCCACCACTTAAGGTACACCAAATTTCCTTTATTTCATTGGCAAATTGTTTTAAAAGGGGAAAGCAGAAGAAACTTTATTTTACAAATAATATCAATAAGTATGTTAACTGGGAATTATTCATTTGGTTACTTAGAACACCGTTAACAAATTCTAAATTTGTCATGATTTCAGCATGATAGTTTAGTTAAATACCTTGTGGCTCGGCAGGTGAAAAAGAGAATCCTTTTCAGTTTCTTGTTGTAGAAGAAGTAGTTGAATGACCACAAGACTCCCTCTTCTCCAAAGGGTCTGAGGACAGATCTGGACTGTAGCTGTTGAAATCAATAGAAAAATAAAATGGACATGAAAATATACGTCTTATGTTAAATTCTTCAAAATATTCTTCAACTAAAATACTTTAACATATCTTTTCCCCTTGAATCTTGACCACACACTAATAAAAACTATTGAGCTTGGCATGTAGATACAGCATCTCACAATAAATGAGCCCATAAATAACTGTTTCAGAGTTATTGCTAATCAATTAATCATAAAATTATGAAATATGTAGAATACAAGGAGGGAAATTCAAATGTCTATTTTGGCCAATTTATCGATTTTCAACACTGCACTGAAACTGATGGTTGAAATTTCAACAGTTTACAAGTACATGCAGGCTGATAACTCATAAAGTTCATTAATATATGGAAATGTATGCAAACAAACACAAGTGGGGCTGGATTCTACTACCCTGCCCTTTTAAAGTAAACTTGGAAGGTTTTGTACCTGTAGATCTCACATTCTGTAGCATTGATTTCATCATTGATGGCAGCCCAGAGCTTAGGCCTGATCTGAGTAGTGTACAGCTCCCCGCCTGCAGAGAACAGATTGCCATCGACTGCATTCACAGTCCAGTCCAAGCTTGGCTCTCGACTAAACTCGTCACTCTTGGCATCACTATTGATGAAAAGACAATGTCATTTATAGATGTATGAAGTCAGATAGATTCTCCTTTCACATACATGTATCATTTAATTGTAAGCTACAATCAAATTCTGAAGGGGAATATCTCATGCTTCATAAAACCTATTTAGTACACAAAGAGAGACTTTAAAATTCAATCTGCTTCTATGCTTTTCAGACTCGGTTTTCCTGGCCCTGTAAAGTGGCGGATCCAGGAATGTAGGGGGGCAGAGTCCCTGGTTGCTTTTTTCCAAGGTTAAATACTATCGGTGGGGCTATTAAGACCTCCATATCCCATAATCCCAACGTTAAGACAAGTATGGGGCTAAGGGAATTTTGCCAGTGGAAGGGCAGCAAAGGCTACTTTATTGCCTATATTTATAAAGAAAAGAAATTGTTAAACATTGTTCCTGAACACAAATAACATGTACCTACTGTAAGTATTCATTATTCATTGATTTTAATCTTTCAATATTAAGCAATTCTCACAAATTTCTTTCGGGAGCATTTACCTAAAATCGTAATCAGGGTGAAATGCGGCATTGAGCGTCGAGATGAGGTAGAAGATCATTTTCCTGCTGCAAGTATGGCACAGGGGTCCACCAGCTTCATCCCCGCTGCTGCGACTGACAATGTTTGGATGCTGGACCGTCAGTGCGCTCTGTGGAGGTGACAGGGCCTGTAACTCGCTTGGAGAATGACCGTTCTCCTGGCTCAATAGCTTGAAGAGACGTTTGTCCTGACCGGCCATCTTGCAGGAGTAGCTTTCCACCCTGAAGTAAAATTACCAAAGTTCAGTGAATGTATGATCATTACATACTGTAGATGTTTAGAACTTTAGATGACCTTTTATAAGATAAAACTTGCAGTTACTCTATAAAAAAAAAATCTCCAATTTAAGATGTAACAAAGATTTTTTTACAAAAATTGTACAAAAGCAATCCAGGGAAACCTATTTGATTTTCTTTAAAGGGAATCAGTCTTTTCACGGAATAATCGAAGGCTCAACACTAATGTATACCAGTTAGGCCTACATTAATCAGTGAAAAGAAATTCAGAAGAGTATTAAAACAAACTAACAAAGAGCAAACTCAGCAAAGTGCTTCATCAAAACAAAGGCGAAATAATGCTCTTATTACCTGTACAGGGTAGTTTTACAAAATGCACACAATTTTTTTGCTTGCTTCCTTAGGAAAAGGTTCCACAAACATTATACAGTGCATCCCAGATAAAACAAAACCGAGAATTATCGATGTTTTATCATTAATCACAATTATAATTGATAAATGACACATACATTTGGAAAGCTTAGATCCTCTTCTTTCATTTGATGCAACTCATAATAATGCATATTTCACGCATGAGGATTAAAATAAATTTGAAGAGAGGAAAACAAAAAGTCATTTGGCGGACGATATCTGAATTCCTAAGAGAAAATCATATTTCTAGAAAGTTGAGTATCTGCCCTTTCATATGACACCTCAATCACACACACCCACCTCGACACAAAACCACAACAAACAGAAGTATTGATGCAAAGGAATTCAATCGATCGATGAACAGGCTCTGTCCTACCAACATCGATGGATTTAAGTATAAAGTAAAGTAAAGTAAAGTAAGTAATTAAAAAATAAATGTTTAAACATTTCTTTGCTCCTGGGACATTGTATGAAGGGGTGACCAAAGTTCGCGGATATTTTTCTTTTCTTGCATATTTCAAAAAATCCAGATCAACATATATCATGTTCCATACGTCATAAGATTCGTAATTTATCATATAATCAGATTATATAACATTCCAAGGCTTTATTTACTTCAAATCAATGATAAGACGAGAATATCGGAAGCCTTACCACTACCGACGTCCGTCAAAAAGTGTGACCTAAGTTCGCGCATGATATTTACTGCCCTCTTGTGATGGGCTTTATATATGTAAACATTCCAAAAAGTTACGTATAGTTTCAATCAGAAGCCGAACTTTATATTGAAACTTTGAAAAATATAATAATTTCTCTCTATCATTGAAATATTGCCCGATAAAAATACCCTTGTTAAATTTTGCAAATAAAAGACAATATTTTTCAATGTTTATGTGTTAATGTCAATGTAGTCCCTATCTGCATGTCATTTGTTTGTTTGAAAAAATTATCATGTGTCTCCATTTTATATGTCAGCCATACACGAGTTCTCGCTCTTTTCTCTCTTTGTCTCTCCTCTTTCCCCTTTTAAATTTGTATTCTTACGAACCATAGATTCATTGAAATTCACAAACACAGATACGGTGGAAGCAGGCGCGCAGGTTCCGTTTTTCGCGTAAGAAATTGGAATTTTATCATTATTTTTCGGAGTCGATCCCTCTAATAAACTGATTTTCATGTAAAAAAAAAACACAATTTGTCATGATAAAAAGCGTGAAAAAGCTAGCTTATTCACATTTTTATGCCGCATTTTGACCTTTGGAGTTGTCGACGGTGCTCAAAGATTTCGTTGTCTCAGTCCCACACAGGCATCGCGTATCGTTCTCCTGTTATAAGCGCTTTTAGTGTTAGTACGCGAACTTTGGTCACGCGCGAACTTTGGTCACACCACCATACATGGTACATTGTCCAGTCAAGAAGCAACCTCTTGCCCCTCTGCCTCCCTGACTTGTATAGACCCTATAATGAGAATTATTATTAAAGAGTATGAGTACAAGAAGATAGACCTGGAAACTCGACTGCTGTCTCAGCATTCTTCCAGTATTAGCGGTAAAGGTAAAGGTAAAGTAAACATACTTTCCAAGGATTCTGCATTCTCCCATTTCCATGGCAAGAGCTTCACTGATGGCTTCCAATTTGGGATTCTCAAGTAGCTTCATCTTGGCTTCAATTCAGTTTCAACTTTCAAGTGAGCTGAGGAGCGACTGAGCAAGGTGATTTCACTGCGTCAAGAGATTTTGTTTGCACTTTCTCACTGCACTACACAGCCTGTTCTTAGACTTGGCACCGACTCTTGTTGATGTTGATGTAGACTGTAGAAATTGGAGTCCACGTCACGCGTCATGAACGATACCCGGTTCAGAACAAGTTGTTGATCCAGCTTAAATTGTATAACTCCCAAATGTGATATTACTTGATTTAAATTGAATGCTCTTAGCAGAAGTAAATGTTGGTGAAGCACACTATTAGACGCTTAAATAGTACTGCTTTACAATTTGTTAAAACTTTTCTCTTACTTCACTGAACACTTTTGCTCAACCAAATAAGTTCTGTGCTGCTGAGCTGAGCTGAGCTGTGTTGTGTTGACTGAGGCTGCAGTGCAGTGACAGTGTAAACCCGGCTCTAGCTAATTCACAATTTCAAGCTAAACTCGGTAAACAGAGATTTGAACTAATGTTAAATTTACAGTGCTTTTCACAGTGATGACTCGGTATTTGATGACTCAGTCTAAAAACAACAGCACTTTGAGCGTTCGATAATGATTTCCAATCGCCTTCACCACAACAAGCCATTGGAATTGGATTACGGAAGGAAACAAACGGTACTCTGTACTTTGACCCGCTAAAACGACGTCGACGATCCCACAACAGAAGAACCATCAAAATCCCGATTTCAGGCTTTCAGCTCAACGAATGACGCTCAAAAGGACTCAGTTATATACTTCAGGATATAAGTATTCAATGAATGATATATGAAATTCGATTCGGACGCAAAATCTTGGAAAAATAGAACGTTTCCAAAGGTGAAGTCTCCTGTTTTATTCCAGTTTGAATCCCAATCAACTTCCTTTATTATTAATGCGCAGCTGATAAGCAGCCGTATAGTACAATGATGACGGACTTGTCAATTATTACCTAAATCGTAAAGAGGTATCCTTCCCATGATTCAGTAGAAAGTAAAATAGTATTGTTGCAATTTGTTTTTTCCATTAAATTTAAGATCAATTTATATCCTAGAACCGCTTATGATCTAAATAAAAAAAGATTTTTCAATGATGTGTATTTTTGATAATTTATATAAAACATATCATATAATTTACATATCTAAAAAGGAATTGTGGGTATTTAGTTTGTATAATACTTACGGAGGTAAAGTACAATGACGTCAGGGGAAAGGAAAGGAAAGGTGTCCACCGCTGCCGATGATCCCATCGGAATGTTATTTACAGGATCACTTTAGTCTTGATGGACGAAAATACACCACAGGCGGGTTTGGAGGGGGTGGGGGAGGGGAAGGGGAGAGAGAAGTAGTAAAAGGCGCGGATCCAGGTGGGGGGGGGGGGCGAGCGGGCCTCAGAGCCCCCCCCCCCCCCCCGGCAAAAAAGAAATAGAGAGAGAGAGAGAGAGAGAGAAGGAAAAGAAAGAAAAGGGAAAGAGGAGAGAAAGGGAAAGAAAATTAAGAGAGGAAGAAAAATGAGGGGGGGGGGGAGGAGATCGGGGGAGGGGGGGAAAAGGAGATCGGGGGGGGGGGCTGAAGTGCCTTTCCTCCTAGGCTGTTGCCTCCCTGTCCCCCCCCCCCCCCCCTCCCCCCCCGCCCCCGGTCAAAACAATAAGAGAGAAGGAAGGAAAGGGAAAGAAAAAAGGAGAAGAGGAGATACTGCAGGGAAGGAAAAAAGAGAAAGAAGAAATTAAGGAAAACAAGGGGAATATCAGTTGCAATTTTCCTGCCAACAAGTTGTGGAATGGAGGGGGGAAAGCCCTTGCCTCCCCCCCCCCCCCCCCCCCCCGCCTCGCTATAAAAAAAGAGAGAAGGAAGGGAAAGGGAAAAGAGGAGAGCTAAAAGGGAACAAAAAGAGGAAGAAGAAAAGAAGGGGAGATCAGTTGCGGTTAATCCCGCCAACATCGTGTGGTTCGGGGGGCCGAAAGGCCCTTGCCTCCCCTGCCCCCCCCCCCCCCAGCAAACCTTAAAAAAAGGAGGGAAAGAAGGGAAGGGAAAGGGGAAGAGGAAAGAAGAGAAAGGGAAAAGAAGAGAAAGAAGAAAGGTAGGGGAATTGGGAAATCAGTTGCGATTTTTCCCGCCAACAAGGTGTAGATCGGGGGGGGGGGGCACTGGAGTACTGTAGGGGGGGGGGGGGCTTGGGGGAAATAAAATTCAAACGTGGTTTATTTCTACTTCCATTACGGTGATTTAAAAAAGTTGCTGAACTCTTGACATAATTTTTCGAGAATTGTCCTCACTTTTTAGTAAATCAACGTATAATTCTTTATGCGTTTGTTGCAAGATGACAAATTCCTAACTTTACGGTCAGGCAAGAAATTATGCTCATTGAGATGCCCACATGTCAGGGCCCGCGTAACCGGCGGGGGTTGGGAGCCTCGAGCTCCCTCCTCCCCCCCCCCCACACTTTTTTTGGAAAAGTTTATGAAAGAGAAATAGAAAGAAAGAGAGCAAGAAAAAAAGAATAGTGAACTGCCAGGGTCACAAATAATAAAGTATTAAAATATGCTCATCTGACCGTGATTAAACGCCTAAAACCCCTGGATTTCAGAGCCCTATACTGAGGCGGGCCCTTAGATGCTCATCTGACTGTAATTAAATGCCTAAAACCCTTGAAATTCCGGGGGCTCCGCCCCTGAACCCCACGCCAAAAATACTGTAAATACTGTATCGGGCCCCTGAATGCTTATCTGACCGTTATAAAATGACTCAAATCCCTGAGTTTCATGGGGCTCAGCCCCCTTGACCCCACGCCAATTAGTAACCTGTCAGTGTTATGAATAAGGTATCAAAAATATGCTCATCTGACCTTAATTAAAATGCCCATATACCCCCTGAGCTTCCAGGGGGCTCCACCCCTCGACCCCTGCCGGGGCTTTGCTCCTAGACCCCACGTCAAGTTATGCTACGCTCATTAACCTTATCGCAAATACTTTAGCCTCCCCACCCACTTTGAAAAACGTTCAGCGGGGCCTGCATGTAAGAGAATGGGGTGATGCGGATTTTTTTTTGTCTGCCTCCCAAACGTTTTTGCTCATTCCGTCACTGCTGGTCACCATTACGTACCAATATTTGGTCGCAAAATTTCAAATTTGGGCCCCCCCCCCCCTAAGAAATCCTGGATCCGCGCCTATATACGTATAGGAAAGAGTGCAACTTTTTTACTTACACAGAGAAGTGCCCCATTTTCTTTAAAATAGATGCCCCTTTCCCCTTCTCAGAAGTGCCCCTTCAAGTTCATCTCTGGCTGATCAGCGCCACTTTTCATGTGTGAGAAATACTCCTTTCATCACGTTAAAGTGCCTCTTTTACTTCGACTCGCACTCCTTTTCCTTTTTAATATTTTTTTCACTTCATTAAGTGCATCTTTTTACCTACCATAATATTTCCCAATCTCGTTTACAAAGTGAGGCCTTTAAAAAAATTTAATCTATAGTCAATATAGAGAGTTATTTCTACCTTCAAAGAATCGGAGCATGCTGCAGCTTTGTGTAGTTCCAAGGACACAAAATATATGGCCCTTTAAACTGTCATGACATATATTTCTGTCCCCCGAAACAACATTTCACATATAGCCTTCCAAACATGTGCCCCTAATATAAAGCGACTGAGAGTAATTATTTTGAATTTATAGAAAAGCTCGCTCGCTAGTCGCTACGCTCTCTTGCATTATTATGGTCTTATACATTCTTTCATTATGACTATGAGATAATGCTTAAAACCCTAACAGGTTGTTTCCACTAATAAGATCTTATCATAAATCTTTAAATATATTTTGCTCGCTCGCTTCGCTTGCTCATGAATGAATCTTCAGGCCATCGCCCACAACTGCAAAGTATGATGCTCAATCATCTTGCATCTTGGACCACGTAAAGAGAAAATCTTGAAGATCTTCCCTGCTAAATTATATATGTATTAATGTAGGGTTATATTATCTTTCTCTGAAATTTGTATTGTTTTCTATTTAAGGTATACTCTTTGTAGGTGCCCCCTTTTCCCCAAAATCGTTGCTGCAAGGGTTTGAGGTGCTATCATCAGATACCTTTTGAAGAAAATGCATTCTTAGTGGTGGTGGTGGTGGTGGTGGTGGTTATTTCACCTGACTGTTAAGAAAGCACAAATGCTTGTAAGCCAAGCAACCAGACGGCCGACGGCTGGTCCTCTCCGAGGGACCTGGTAATGAGGATAAATGCCTTACCAAATGGCACTAGCGCATCGCTTTGGTTTCGAACCCGGGTCACCGGATTACGAGACCACTGCTCTACCGACTGAGCTATCGCGCCTCCCTTTCTTTGTTTTTTCATTGATTTTTAAAGTGAAAAGGGTTACCCTCAATCTCCCCCCCCCCCCCAAAAAAAAAAAAAAAATATATAATAATAATAATAATAAAATAAATAAATAAATTTAAAAAAAATTAAAAAAAATATTTTTTTTTTTTTTTTTTTAAGTGAATTTCTTCCACTCTTTTGTTTGTCATAATTATTAACTGGTTGTTGCAGGTTGGGGCGGGCACGTTAGCGGTGTCAATTCCATTTTGGCGAGCGAGCATATAGCGAGCAAGCAAAAAAAATAAATTCTCTTTTAATAGAAATTAATAAATAAACTTGCTTTTATTGGTGCAGGTCAGGATGGACGCAATCGCGTTTAACGCGATTCAATTCCTTTTTGGCGAGAGGGCGAAAAAACTCTTCCATTTTCTTCCACTCTTTTGTTTGTCATTTTCCTTGCTCAACGTTTTTTTCCGGGTCTGCAACCCCTCGATCCTTGACCAGAGCAGTGGCGTACCTGGGGTACTCCGTCAGGGGTGGCAAGCGACCGAAACAAACAAAAAAGGCGATGCTAATTTTCACTTCTGGCGAGCGAGCGAGCGAGCAAAAAAAAATCTTTAAGTAACGTTTGGTATATAAACTGGTATTGTTGCAAGTTGGGGGTGGGAACATTCACTTGTTAGCGACGTTAATTTCATTTTTTTGCAAACTAGTGTAGCGAGCAAGAAAAAAATCACTTCTTTTTTAATAATTGCCACTTAAACTTGGTTCACTGAATTGTCCCATGCAGGGCGCGGGAACAATAGTGTGTTTAGGGTGATTTTATACCCATTTTAGCTAGCGAGCGAAAATACATCTTTCTCTCAATGAATTGCTATATAAAATTTGTTTCATTGTTGCAGGTAGGGGGCGGGCACAATCGTGTTTAAGGCAATGTCAATCCCATTTTGGCGGGCAGGCAACCCCCTACATTTCTCTTTTTAATGATATTGTAGCAGGTTAGTGGTGGGCACATAATTCCACGAGCTAGCGATCGTAGCGAGCGAAAAAAAAAATCACTTTTCTTTTATAGGGAAAATATGGTACATAAAACTTGGGTTCATTGTTCCATGTCAGGGACGTGATTATTAAAAGCGGTGTTAATTCTATTTTGGCGAGCGAGCGTAGCGAGCGAGCAAAAAAAAAATCACTTCTCTTTATAGGGAAAATATGGTATATAAACTTGGTTTAATTGTTCCATGTCAGGGACGTGATTATTAAAAGCGGTGTTATTTCTATTTTGGCGAGCGTAGCGAGCGAGCAAAATTTTTGTAATGATAATTGGTTCATAAATTTCAGATTTTTTTGTTGCAGGGCAGGGCTTACACAATCATGTCTATGCACGAGCACACCAAAACTTCTTTGAATAACGTTTCGTACATAATTATTAACTGGTTGTTGCAGGTTGGGGCGGGCAGTTGTTAGCGATGTCAATTCCATTTTGGCGAGCGAGCATATAGCGAGCAAGCAAAAAAAATAAATTCTCTTTTAATAGAAATTAATAAATAAACTTGTTTTTATTGGTGCAGGTCAGGATGGACGCAATCGCGTTTAACGCGATTCAATTCCTTTTTGGCGA